CATATATTCGTACTAGTGCTTGAAGTGCTTGCAATATAATATATTTATTTTATTTGAAAGATATCCACTGATTATAAGCAATGCGGACGTGGTCATAATGTTCAAAGTGAAGTTTATGAAGTGGATGAAGAAATGTTGAAAAAATTAGATGAATTAGAAGAGTATCCAGAATATTACGATCGCGAAATACAAGAAATAAGAATGAAAAAAAAGGATGAGTAAGTTCAAGCAGATTTATTCTTGAGATACGATTATTGTTTTTTTTTTTTTTTTTGAAGGGTTGAGAAGTGCTGGTTATATTTAATGAGAAACTGCCCGGACGACTTATTGCAAAAACCATTGCTGAAATATGAATATTGCTCAATTCCTACCCAGAATTTCCTTATAAACCAAGGTCTGAGCGCGATTCAAATATAAATATTAAAGACGAAATGATTTAATGACAAAAAAAAAAAATATTACAGGATATATAAGCAGCAAATCTCAGAAAAGAAGGTAATGATTGTATGGCAGAGAAAGAAAAACCGAATAAAGTGTTAGAGGCATGTCGTCTTTATACGGATGCAATTTTCACAGCAATTGGCGTGGATAACATGGAATTATCACTGGGATATGCAAATCGAGCTTTGGCACTTCAATGTTTTGGTTACTATCAGCAGGCGTATGACGATTGTGAGTGCGCTTTAGAAATTGGCTATCCGAAAAAGCTGTATCCTAAAATTATTTGTCGTCAAGCATACTGTGCTCTTCAACTGAATAACGCGGAGCTATTAACAAAACATCTTAACAGTTTGGAAAGTATGCATTTAAATGAAAATTTTCGACGGCAAGAGCAAGAACTAAGAGCTAATTTATGGAAATTACAAAATCAAACTGAAAAGACGAACGAAAATGTTGAATTGATATTGAAGAATCGAGATTCTCAGGAAATGTAAGTGTAAGCATGTTTCTTTATATGAATGCACACATGAAATACATTAACGTAATACTTGCAGTGTTAATACATTTAGTGAAATTGGACGGTATATGGGAGCTAAACGACTTATTAAACAAAATGAACTTATTTTTTCGGAGCGAGCAACAGCTCTTGCTCCCATAGGTTCTGCCATTCAACTTAATAATCACTGCGCAAAAACTAGTTTTATACCAATACCTTGTCAGCATTGCCGTGTCCGTGTTGTATATTGCTCACTCGCTTGCTTGAAAGCCCATAAAAATATTCATTTGCACGAATGCTCGGCGTACCAGATGCAGCTATTCGCTCATGCAGGTATTGCCCATTTAGTTTTACGGATAATTCTTGACAATGGACTACTAACAATTCTGGATTTATTAAGGAATAAACAAACGACTAAAGCAATCTGGACTTCGCTAACGGAAGGGGGCGATGCTTGGATGAGCTTACTATAAAATTGTATTGAAAATTCGTATTTTTCTTAGCTGAATGGCTCGTATGGTTAGTCTCAAAGACTTTCGAAACGCAAGGCTGGTTACGAGGGAAAAACTTTTTCGCAACTTCCGAAGCAATAAAATTCCTTAACAACGGTGAAGGAAAACCGGAAAACTTCATTTCATAAATCTCATATATTTCCTGTAAAGAATATGGAGGGACAGCGATCACATGTTGAAATCTTAAGGTCATGTCTTGTACGAACTGAAATCTTTGCTTGTTGGGTGGGGCACGTTTAGAGGTCGCTTATAAATGCCTAAACCATAGCAAGAACATGGACTAATCGGCTCGATCAAGGAGCACCGATTCGTGCTTTGTATATTTTTTCTTATCACAAATTTATCTTGTGTTAGTATCGCTCGCTTTAATGGTTCTGTCCCGAAGCGGGAGACAAAATTAATTTTTTTACTCTACCTGCCTTGTTCGGCCTTACTCCTCCCTCAGCTTTAGGTTTACCATTTGATTTTTCCTTAATGAAACTCCCATAATCTAAGTTGAAAACAATGTCTTGAAGGGTTCTTGCAAGATGGTACAAAATCATTAAACAAAATAAAAACTTCATGCCAGCGTTGTTAAGTTTAGTAATTTTAACTATTTATAAAAACTGACAGTCCATATGTAATTAG